ATAGTAAGAAACGTGAAGAATGGAGAACTGCAATGGGAATTCTTGATCAGCCAACAGAAAATTCTTGGTACTTCACCCCTGAAAAAATACAATTTACTTACTACCTCAAAGAAATAATATATATAAGCAAATCGAAAACCCAAACGAGTATCCCAAAATACGTAGTAGTTCTATGTCCAAGGAATATTGGGACACCCTATATAACAGTCTTCCAATGGAATTCAAACCTCTATCCATTCATACATTTAAATATAAGGTAAGGACATTTTAAAGGAAATCTGGAATTTATAACGTGGATGAGTTTTTTGTGGAGCAGGTAGATGTAGAATTATATTTAATATACAGGGTGTTTCAAAAAACATGTGCCATCTCTCGTCGGGAATATAAAAATAAGATTTATTGTTTATATCAACATAGGTCCGATTCTGCTTTGTTTCGCAGTTACAGGGTGTTAAAGATTTAATATTTTTTCGATCTATTATAATTTTCTTCCAAGTACTTTTTTTTTTCGAATGAAATTTTCTAGGTAAAAAGTTGCTATAAATGCGACATAATTTAAAGCTAAAAAAGTGTCGACATATTTACCAGGGACGTGCATATGGGTTATCACTAGAATATTTTTCTGAAAAAAGAATGTATGCCACTGACTTTTTTTTTCTCTTGTTAGCGAAATAGTGTAAACAGTTTAATGTCGATTAAAAGTTGTTTCTTGATATTTTGTCGATTTCGGCCTCCTTGATGAGATAAAAACAAATTTTATTAATTTGCCTTCTTCCAAGTCTAATAGCAACCTTTAAAAATTTTTAATATTATTAACTAGCGAAAGTAAATCCTCATCAAAAAATATGAAAAAAAGTTCCTATATACATGGATACCGAAATGCATAGTTTTAGAGTTAAAAGATGTTAAAACTTTTTAAAATTATTTTTTATGTAATTATCTTAAATACCATTCTTTTTTTATTTGAAATTGCTGTAGGTTAGACTAATAGTAATAATAACTAATAGCTAAATAGAAGGTGCCCGGTGGTGTAGAGGTACAGGCTCTCGTCTACCAATCTCAACGTAGTGGGTTCGAATCCTACACCCGGCATTTCATCAGCCGACTATTTTTATTAAAATAAAAATAGTTTGGGTACCTAGGTCGACTCAGCCTTAAATGAGTACTTGGGATTCAAAATCCTGAGGTAATAATAGGCGGTTGAAGCGTAGTGCTAGCCACATTACCTTCCTTGTATACCGAACGTCTCTAGCATGGCAAGCTGTACCTTGCTACTCCCAAGGCGTATACGCTATATACGGGAATAATATTTAATAATAAATGAGGTAAAATATATAATTTATTAATTTAATTTTTATTTTATTAATTATTGTGATTAATAAAATTGCGTTTATCTCATCAAGGAGGCCGAATTCGACAAAATATCAAAAGATAACAATTAATTGGCATTAAAGTGACTACACAACTCTGATATCAAAAGAAAAAAGTCAGTGGCGCACATGTTTTATTTTGAAAAATATTCCAGTGATAACCCATATGCACGTCCCTGATGAAATTAATCAATACTATTTTAACATTAAAATACGTAGCACTTATAGTAACTTTTATCCTTAAAATTTCATTTGAATCATTAACAGTACTTGGAAGAAAATTATAATAAATCGAAAAAATATTAAGATTTTAACACCCTGTAGCTACGAAACAAAGCAGAATCGGACCTATGTTGATATAAAAAATAAATCTTATTTTTTCGTGAGGAATCTCCACACTAGAGATGGCACACCTTTTTTGAAACACCCTGTAATTGTATAAAAAGAATCTTAAATTGTCGTTTGTCTTCTATGTTAATGTAACACGCTTTGCCTCCGTGTATTGTTTTTTTCTTCTAGTATTTTTATGTATTCTGATCTGTTTGTTATCTATTCTGACCTGCTACTATATTGTATAAATAAATAGTCAATAAAGATTTTCTTATTTATATTTATTTATTATATAACCCAATTAGAAAAAATTCTCCCATTTGTTGCGAATTTTCGGCGCACCCTATATAACATTATACAATTATATTTACGTATTATTTATTTAAATAAGTAAATCAAATTTACTTATTTAGTAATTACCTAACCCTAAAAGTAACTAGCCCTGGCCACTTTATCTGCGTGGTCTATATTTTAATGCATGCAACAGAGAAATATAAATGACCGGTTGATAGACAGAGAGACACGATAAAAAGCGGCAGTGTTGCCGGTTTTTACGTTTGTAGGAAAATGCATGTAGAAAAAAATAAACTTAAAAAAACTATTTTAAAAACTTTCATGTATACTACTGAAATAAAAATAATATATCTAAGCTAAATATAATCTATTATAGCCGTAGTAAAATGAGTAACTAACTGTAAAAAATAAAGTTGCAACTCTAGATGCAACATTTTTCGTAAATGCCTACTTGCGCGGTTTGTAATTTTGATGCAAAATCCGGTAATATCGCATAGAAGAAATGTATGAACCCACTTTTATCCCTGTTTAATATATTTGATTTTCCATTAAGCTGTCGACGTCACTGTCTTACACGTTAAAATTCAGACCGCGCAGTTTAGGTTTGGTATGATTTGGTTATATACCGATCTGGTCATATATATCACTTTTTAGTGACAGTAACAACTAATCGCGAGTTAAAGAAACAATTTTATAATACTTATTATTCTGACTAAAAACTATACCGGGTGCGTACTATAACAGTGGCTCACCCCCCTATAACTTTTTTATTTTGTCAGTTAAAAAAAAGAGATTTGGTATTTTAGTATATGACATAAATTAGGATTGATTGACGTATTCAATTGTTTTCGATGACTTCCTGTTTCATCGGAAATGACTTACAACTTTTGATTTTTAAATAGTACCTACGGTATTTTTTTTACTTTATTCCATAGAAAATTACATTCTGAATAGAATGACATCTCAGATGTCAATTTTTGACATTTTCGCATATGGTTTATTTGAAGTTGTAACATGGTATCAAATAATTCGTAAAAAATGCTTTTTCCAAATATGCTAATGAGCCACCTTCGTTACATTTGAAAAAATTCAGATATGATTAAAAATACGAGGGCATCTTTTAATCGGCCAGGACAAAACTAAAAACATTAGACGATCAAATCTATTTTTCCAATGCTCTTTGATTAAAAATTAGTGTTTTTAACATCGACACTGCACTCTAGATTGAAATTGTAACGTTTTTAGTTCGTTACATGTCTTTTTTATATATAATATATGATGTCTGGCCTATCATCACCGGATTAGGCCTGATAATTTATTTGGCACGCTTGGCGTAATTTTTACGTTCCCTAGTCGCCAACCCTGCTATCGTTTCACTGTTCTGTGGAGGCGCGCGCTGTCAAGATCCTTGTTATATGTCAAGGCGCCTCTCTGCGTTTTAACCTCACTTTGTTTTTGGCCGGTTTGCGGTTGCGGCACGGTTGCAAATCCTACTTTTAGAAATGGTAATTTAAATCTTGCTGCAAAATCTGAATCAGCTGCCATTTCGAAGCTACAGGTAAAGATGAGTTATTATCTTTTATAGATTATATTATTTTTAGGGTAGAGTTTTGGATTGACCCACCTTAACTCGTATTTGTATTTTGCTGACACGTTGGTGTACTTTTGCTGTTGTCCTCCAGAATGTTAAATGGAAGAAAGGACAGTTCTTTTGTTTATTATTGAGCCCTCGGAAGTGTTTCGAGGTAGGTTTATTTTGTTTATTAGACCTTGTTTGGTTTTTTAAACAAGAGTTTCGTATTTTTAGGGTCTTATGGACGGACTGTGTCCAAGGTACGGGTAGTGTTCCCCTGTACCGTTTTCTTATGGACGTACATTATCTTATGGACGGACTGTGTCCAAAGTTATGGTCCAAGTTACGGACATTATCCAAGGTCCTAGTAGTGTTACAAGGTACGGGTAGTGTCCCCATATTGCCACAGTATGGATACAGCGTAAGCCCCATGCTGCTTCGCTCCCATTTCTAAGCCTAGTCAGTAGCTACGGCTCTATTGATTCATGGTGTCCTCATTCTGGCCCCTTTTGTTGTTTTGGCCAACAGGATCGCCGACAGACAGCACAGAGATATGAGCCCACCTCACGCTGCTACTCTTCGAAACAGGATTGCCTCAAGAACAGCTAAGTGTAGATTTAGGTTCTGATTTTCAGTCTTAACTTAATAACGTACATTTTAAATAATATTTATATTATATATTTAGTGGTTAGATTATTAAGAACATTTATGTCGATTTAGTAGTTACAATATGATTTAGATTTTAGGTTTCATTACATTACGCCTTGTAATAGTATTACTTTCTATAGATATTATTATTACGCTATATTAACAGATGAATAACGAGACACAGATTCTAGAATCTACAGGTTGCAACACATCAGATTTAACACCGCATAAAATTTAACAATTTAAATAAAGTAATGACCTTTCTTATATTTTCTATAACGTTACACGCATTGTATTTTTTCATAGTCTTTTCATAGAACATATTTAATATTATTTACATACATAGCTTTACTCGACATATAACCACTATAATAATTATTAAAACTGTACAATGCTATTTACCATCAGGATACATCATGAATGAATATAGTCACTAGCTTTAAGTAATAAACAACTGTGTTTTCTTTCTCTGTTCATGCCTGGCGCACAATATTTATAATTTCGAGTTATTATTGTTAATTAGTTCTTTCCAGTGAAATACCTTATCCACGACTGCTCTACCAACGAAAAGCTGCCGTTCGCAGTGGTAATGTTTAAAAAAAAACGCTACAAAATTTAAAATACGATTTTTTATTAAACAAGAGTCATTCTATTCAGAATGTCACTTTCTATCAAATAAAGTAAAAAATAACGAGGGTGCCATTTAAAAATCAAAAGTTGTAGTCATTTCCGGTGAAACAGGAAGTGAGCAAAAACAACTAAATACGTCAATTTATCCTAATTTATGTCGTCAACTAACATGCCAAACCTCGGCCTTATCTGAAAAAATAAAACAGTTATAGGGGCGAGCCACTTTTGAAACGCACCCGGTATGTATTATACTTAGTGCAATTTGAATGTTTCACTTTAGTTACTGTCAAAATAATTCAGCGATAAAGATAGTAGTACTCAAACTTATTCTTACACCAACTGTGATATCATTTCCTTCCAAGCACACGGTACAATTACCCTGACGTCACCACTTAGGTAGTTTCATAAACAATAGTAACAAAAACGAGACAAAGATACAAAAATAAAACGAAACAATGAATTTATTTGGTTAATATTTGAATAATACTGTCCACTCTTGTCAAGATATCCTTGGCGTTTCCGTTGTTCTTTAATTTTTCTAAACATTCCGATATATTGTTCTCCATTAAATGAACGACAATCTGACTAGACTTTACTAGATTTTCTAACATGGTTAGACAGTTTTCCATTGTATGTTGATCCCATTTCTCGCCGTATTTGTTCATTACAAAATTGAGGTTTTTGCCGATATCTGAATCGCATAATGTTTTATAAAACCGTTCCATCTCCTCGCCGGCATGTTTTTCATTGTTACTTAAACCGACCGCTAAAATACATAAAGCAAGGAAGGATTCGTTCTGCATGACCCCGCGATTCGATGAAATCATCTCTACGATACATTTCGTACTATCGGGTATAGAAAGAAACGTGGAGAAGGGAGAACTGGAATGGGAATTCTTGACCAGCGAACAGAAAATTTGCGGTACCTTTCCCCTGAAAAAAAGACAATTTACTTACAACCTGAGACAAATAATACCGCGCTGGCAAGTTTTACTATTGGGTCGGTATTTATATGTGAAGAAGTGAGTCGCGTAGAGATTTTATTAAGTCTGAGTGAGAAAAATGCGACGGTGTGCTGTTGCAGTGTTGCCACATTTATCGGATATACAGGTGCGCGTTTCTCTGGTCAAAAGACGCTTATTTCTAAAAGTTTTCTTTTCGGAAAGATAACTAGATAAAATCATTAGATATATTTCTGGGCATCTGAAATGGAGTTAGAAGAATATCGTTATGGCAGAGAAGAACAATCGTGAAGAAGCGACAAAAACCGTCGGCAATATTGAAGTAGAGGGGACCAAGTTTTGTGACCTTCAAATTGGCGTACGTGAGAAATGGCATGTTTATCGCTACACCGAGAGAAATTCAATGAAGGCAAAAGAAATAAGAAAAGCTGTACACTGAAAAAAAAACATGTGTTCAGTAAAAAGTATATTAGAAATATTTAGGAATCATATTGAATAGTAACTATCTTTTAAGATTTAACGGGTTTGCGCGATTTGTGGATTTACCGCGTCCTAACTATTTTCTAACCTATTCCTTTTAGAGAGACATTTTCAAATTGTATCTGATAATATTGTTTGCTTCTAAATTAATATTTGAAAGTGTGTTTTTAAGTAAAACAATTTTAAGAAAAATTCGAATACTTATCAGCTGTTATCATAAGCGTTAAAACAAACGAAAAAGTAAATAACATGATTACAGTTGAGGGTTGGAACTGGGGTATTACAACAGTAAAATAAAACACTAATAGACCACAATACACCAAAGCACTTTACTTCTGCAATGCCTCAGCAGATGATTAAAACTAAAATGATTAAAAAACATAATATCTTTATAATATGATAACATAGATGGTAGATTTAATTTAAAAGAAAGAAAACCCAGAAAAGATTCAGCGGTTCTGAAAATGTAAGCATTTTTTTTTAATTTTCAAAGAATCTCGGTTATTCTGGACTTCTTTGAAAAACTGTAAAAAATAGCTTCATTTATCGAGATCTACCAGCCCTGAAAATATTTACACTTATTTAAGACTCATCCTGTATATTAAAAAATCATATTTTACATAAAAAAAATATTTTATATTAGAAATAACACAACTCAAATTGGCGTCGCTAATATATTATATATGCGATTAAATATTTCATTCTCTAATAGTTTTAATTTTCTAATTATTTTTTATTAAACGCTAACAAACCTGCATCTATTTTAGGTTTTAATAATATTTAGTTCTGAAAGTTAGTTCTTTCTTTAAGTACTATTATAGTAAGGATAAAATATAGAAAAATTAATTCAAAAAGATTAATTATATACACAAATAAAAAAATAGTAAGATGCCAGGACTTTATATTAACAATGGCAACGCTGGCCGTATTCCGAAAACACGTTGAGGTGACAGTTAGCATGTTTACCTCCTACTCCAAATTTTTAGGCCGGATTCGTTTTCTCGCTTCTCTACGATTGTTCTTCTCTGGTTATGGTGTCAATTTTTTTATAATGACAAAACCTCAATAATCGCGGTAATTTGAAAACTCTATTTTATAAAATATTTTAATTTATACCATGCAATAACTCAAGAACCACTTTAGATATTGAAACTTTCTTTTATTTATTTTGAAGTTCGGATCTTAGACAAGATCTTTAAATGATAAAAATTTGACACGCTTGTTTTTTTTTTCATTCAAAAAATTAAAAAAAGGGTTTTAGTGCACATATTTGAAAGCATTTTAGTGCATGGCAAATTTCAGCAATTGTGTAACCTTTTTGTGTTTGTAACGATTTTCACATACTGTCTGTGAAAAAAATATAGCAGAAACATTGAGAAATTAAAAAAAAACACTATCAATTATTTCCAATAAATTTCGAGACATAGATTTTTGAATTCAGAGTTCCAATAGCACCAACCACTGCCTAGTACCAACTCACTTATTTTTACCAAATATGGCAAATTTCTTGGTATTTTAGAGTCGCTGTTTAATTTCTAACTTGATTTAATAATTTACAAGATATAAGGAAAATTACAATAATTCGTTAATAAATAAACAAATAAAGTACCGTGAAATGGGGTGACTTTGCCTCTTGGGGTGACTTTGCCAAATTCCGTCCCAAAATATGTTAGACGTAGCCGTAGCCACTACTTGAAAAGAACGCGTTATGTGTTATCGGTAAATTATGGGTGGAGGCGCCCCACGTCTCGGAACGTCGCTAAACGCTTGCCTCAGTTGCGATGTAGCATTTACAGCGCTGTGAAGCCAAATCTATTTTTAAAGCCTATTTTGTGCGTTTCAAACTTCTACGTGGCTGCAATAGCTAACCACGTTATATTGAGGTAAGTATTATGCAGAAGTTCGTTATAATGTTGAGGGTGATGAAGCATATTTTACGTAGTTATGATTTTAAATGGGGTGGCTTTGGTCTATCAATAAGAATAAGGAAGAGGGCAAAGACACCCCATATAAGCAACTAACTTTGCCCATCCACTTTTTTACTTTTTTTATATATATATTTGTTTAATAAACAAAAAAGCGTATTATTGTTGTGTTGTCCTTATTACCACTTATAGCATAGACCATGCGCATTTGAGAAAATACAACAATTTTTGAAATAAACACGATTTAAAGTTCAGAATTGGGCAAAGTCACCCCACTTCACGGTATAACAAGACGTAATTAAATCGTGAAGCTGAACGTATGATGTACACCCTTTCCTAGAAAGTACTGGATTTAAATTTTATGTTTAGGCGGCGTGACGGTATTGACCGCGACGAAGCTGCCATATCCCCTTCCACGTCTCTTAGCAATGTGCACAGTTTCTCGGTTTATTTCATAGGCTTGGCAACGTTTTTACTATTCTCTCCTTATTCAGTACATTATAAATGCATTGTACTCTTCTTACATATGGAAATCTCGACCCAAATCCAAACTTTGCCGACCCGAGTATATGTATACATATTAGCAAATCGGTAATTCAACCGAGTACCCAAAATAAAATAAAAAATCAAATAAAATTTGGAAGTACAAAGAGAAGAATAAAAGTAGATTTTTAATTTGACTTTCTATCATGGGAAGCGCTGATTTCTCTTGAAATGGCGGAAAATAAAGTCGTCGATATAATATATCTCTGTCGATATAATATAGTCTGTGACTCGATGATATGAAGACCTGAATATATATAAACGCTGCTGTATCTGTGATCAGTCAGTGATTTCCTATGTCAACTGATGTAATTACCTGACACCTAAATGGTCTGAGTTGTAGCACCAATACACCAACCGCTCTATAAAATCCTTCCTCAGCAACAGGTTAAATGCAGCTTCTGGTTGTCCATCTATGACCATCCGGTAAGTCCCAAGCAGTTTGAAAACTACCATAAAACGATTCTGTTTTAACATTGGGTACATAACTTCGATTATGTCTTCTTTTAAAACCTAGTTAGAAAGAAAACTGATTTATACTGTGTTTCCTATAATGTGCAATATTTTAAATAAATATCTTCATAAATAGGTTAGTTCCTTATTAATTTTAGTTAGTTAGTTATTTATTTTAAATTTATGATATGGATGTACTGGAATTAGTATTTATTGCTGCCTTAATTAAACACGATTTAATGCGATTATCTTTCAACCTTTTTACATAAACTTAGTTCAGATTAGTTCAGTTTTTTAGAAAAATTTTCCAGTGATAACCCATATGCACATCCCTGGTGAATCAGTCGACTCTTTTTTAGCATTAAAATGTGTTGCACTTATAGTAAAGTAACATTTACAATCAAAATTCATTCAAGTCGCTAAAAGAACTTTGGAAGAAAATTATAATAAATAAAAAAAATGACAAAGATGCCTTTGTAGCTACGAAACTAGATCGAATCGGGCTTAGGTTAATATAAAAAATAAATCATATTTTTACGTGAGGAATCTCCCAACGAGAGATAGCAGATGTTTCTTCAAACACCCTGTATTTACAAGAAGACGGCCAGCGACATCTCCTGATAATGAACGAAACAACCATATTCCGTTAAGCAGAATTCTATAAGAGCATTATAGTTGAAGCTGAAGAGGATTGAGAGATGTTATGTTTGTTCCAACCGGACAAGAGAACCGTCCTATAACGGTAATTTCCTATCAGTCAATTCATTTGTTAATCTTGACAAGCGATCAAACTTTTCAAACAATAAGTGGGCGACTAGAAATTACCGTCCCAGGATCGGTTCTCGGTCCGGTTGGAACGAACCTGTTGTCTACATTATCGAAAATTCTAGAAAAGGATAGAAGGAAACGTAACTTCTGGAACAAGCCTAAAGTGGCATCTAAGGGTATAAAAAAGCCGACAAGTCTGGGAGCCAGTTTTTGAACCAATATACAGGGTGTCTCAGATTTTAATCGGGAAAATTTAATAGACGATAGAACTTGCAAAAATAAACCAAAAGTTCATATCAACTTGTAAGATTTAAAGCTTCCTTTTCGAGATACAGGGTGTTAAAGTTACTTAAAAAAGAAAAAAAAATAAGATATTTGAAAAACTATATATACTACTTACTATGGGACTTAATTTGATGTAATTAGATTTAAGTTTAATGGCCAGGGGCGGCGGTGGGGCATCACTGTCAAGTTATTTTAAAGGAAAAAATAGGCACCCACTGCTTTTTTAGAAGTTTAATATTATTTTTGGATTTAGTAATTGAAAATATTATTTTTTTGTCTCCTGACTTTTTTGTCTATCTTGCTTACTTTTTGCGAAAAAAAATAAATTCTAATTGGTAATTAATATTATAATTGATATTCTAATGGTACCCTGTATCTCGAAAAGTAAGCTTTAAATCTTATAAGTTGATATGAACTTTTTGTTTTATTTTTGCAAGTTCTATCGTCTATTAAATTTTCCCGATTAAAATCTGAGACACCCTGTATAGTGCCACAGGGAATCGGAAATGAATAGTTATTATAATTGTTATTGGGATACATTAGTGGTTTAATAGGATATATTGTTACATAATTTCACTAAGTATTATTTTTTAAATGTTCTATTAGGGGCATAATAAATAAATAATATAGTTATTAAGTTAAATTATACAAGGTCTAAAAAGTGAAGTATTTTAAGCATCTTCCCCCTTCCTCTTTTCCTCTTTTAAGCAACGTCCCCTTTTTGCTGCTAAGGCTAATCTGGATGGAAACAACTTTGTTTACACGGAATCCGAACCGCGGTCTTCGGCTACATCATGGTCAATGGCCTACTGACTTAGCGGGTGTCTAAATCGCCTCGTCTAACGTCGCTTAACTTCGGTAATCTATCGAAAACTGGGTTTCGACGTAGCTGGGCCGTTGATATACAAGGTCTATTTGTGTATGTTTCTAAAGTTAGGACAGTGTATTGTAGGTTGCATAGTAAGAGGCGTCACCTCAATTAGCTTATCTAACAGTATCCATCCAATCATAAATGATTTGATAAATTATATTGTTTGCCTACCTTAGCTTTGTTTTCCTTTGGAATGACCAAATTCTTAAGTGTACTTAATAATGCATGTTGAACTTTTACATCATTAATATCGGTAGATTCATTGTATTTTTTCAATAATTCAATCAGATTGTTGGCAATACCATCATTTACCATTTGGATGCAATGAAAATCATTTCTAGCAAAATTTCCAATTGCTAAAATTCCTAAAAAAGTAATAGTATAAACTTAAAATATCAAACTCTCATAAATCTATACAGGGTTCAGAAATAGTGTGTCAGGCATCTGTGCTCCTAGAATAAAACACTTGAAAATTCTGTAGAATCTAGGATGTATTTCAGGAAAATATTTTAACTTCTATAGGGTGGCTCAAAAATGTGTGAGTGGATCGGGATTTTTTTTAATGGAGCATCCTTACATAATCCTTTACATAATCCATAATATGAGTAAATATATTTCGATAGGTTCAGATATATTAAGAAATATTTTTCAGCCTTTCTTAAAAAAGTTAAAATATAAAAACTGTCCTGAAATCAAAATTATACTAGGTATTTACTTTAGGTGGTCTGGCACTTACTTTGGTATAAATATGATAATGGTAAATCATACAGTTGTTCAAAATTCTAAACCAAACTTTCTAAAATATAATAAAATATTTTTTTTTTGTTTTTTGTTTAAATAAAACCCTGTATATTATTTTTTCAATACATGGAGAATTAAAAAAAATTACATTTTTTGTATTTAGAGTATTTTAAAAAATTTAACGGTTTCCCAGATATTCGCGGTTTATATTTCATATTGCATTTTCGACAGTAAATTTTTATCAAAGCCACCCAATGAGTTTTCTCTCGTATTTTACCGCTGAGAGAACCATATGAAATAATGAGGCGTATATCTACAAAAACATTAAAAATTTTGAAATACTTTATATAAAAAATGTTCATTTTTTAATTCTCCATCTAATAAAAAATTATATACACAGTGTTCCATTAAAAAAAAACATCCTGATCCACTCACTTTTTGAGCGACCCTATAGAAGTTAAAATATTTCCTGAAATACATCCTAGAACATATTTCAGGTTTGCACTTAAACAAAATTCCCAAGTTTTTTATTCTAGGAGATACAGATGCTCGACACACTATTGCAGGATCCTGAATAATTCTCAAATAACTATTTTTTTAAGCAACATTTTCAACATTACTATTTGATATTTTTGTCACAAAATGACGTTGTGCTAACATTCTATCAATATGTATTAAAATTATTAAAAATCCCGTAATTTTTTGAAACCTTTTATGAAACATCTAAATATAATATATTATAGATTCTATAATACGTTACCGGCGCATTCGCCAATTTGTAGAAATATTAAAAATACTACAATATACTTATTTTTTACAAAATATCTATCTCAAGCGTAAATGATTTATCGATGAAATATAATATTAAGTTAATTTCTTATGTTTATTATATTACTATCACAAATGTCTACTTGTTTTACTACACAATATATGTATATTTCTTAGAGAAAACCATGTACATTTTTAAATTGTTGGTACAAAAACAATATTATTTTCTTGCCTTGTACAATCAAGAGAAAAACATTTTAGTACTATCATATTTTGCTTCTAATCATTTACATGTTTTTACCTGTAGATAACAAATCAGCATCATCAGAATTTAACCAGGTAAGCATATTTTGGTATGTCTTTCCTTTTCCTTCATTGTATAATAAATTCATACAAGCATCCTCTGTAGATGTTAATACAATAAAGTCACATGCCATCCTCAAAACTGATCTACCATCATCGTCATTCACCTTATCCCTTAAAAAATCCTTTAAGCATAACTAGCCCAGCAAATCAAAATGAAAATACCTGTATTTTTCGATTAACTCGCATAAAAGTTCACATACACCCTCTTTGGCTATAACCAATTTAATATCATCTCTTTCCAATAAAGGGTGAAAAATTTCTAAACACAACACACCAATGTCTGGTATTTCTGTTTCTTTAAAGATATCAATAACAAGCTTTGCTAGATCTTCAGAGAATATGTACTCTTTATCATCTAAGTAGTCAGTCAATAGGTTCAGGATGCTTAATAAATAGGTTATAACTACTCTATTTTTTTCTATTTGATGCTAAAATTAAATACTTTAGAATAATAGATCAAAACTTTAGGATATAATACCAACCTTATACTTTATCAACAAGGTTTTAACAATAGGTAAAATACCTCCATTTAAAGCAGCTTTAGGGAGATCATCATGTGTGTTTAAAAGATTGACTAGTAATCCACTGACTTTAGTGGTTAAAGAATCATTATCTCGTTTAGAGTCACTACGCAATACTTCAAGAATACTATCGATTCCTAGTTTGTTAATTAACTCTGAGCCTTGTTCATTATCGTAACAGATATTTCCTAAAGCTCTTACAGTAGAAAAAATTAAGTCATCTGATCCTTAAATAAAAACAATAGTTAATAAAAAATAGTAATTATTAGGTAAACAAAGCTAGACCTCTTACCTGATTCAATAAAATGCATAAGATCCCTAATAACTTCTTCATCTGTAAAAACTTTTCTATTTTCTGCAATAGTACATAATTCAGCAATACTTTCAGCGACAACAGTTTGTAGTGATTTATTTGGGATTTTCAGTAGCTTCTTGAAAGGTCCCACTTCAATAATGATAAAATCACCGGGTTTACTAATTATGGTTTTTAAACACTCAATAGCCTTTTGTTCATTGGCTGAATTGATAGCTAAATTCAAATTACTTAATATATTTTCCATTTTCTTTACTAGATATTTGTCTTGTTTGTTTTTTTTAAAACAAAATCAAATTATTAAATGAATACAAATCACAAATTATACAATTTTTGACAGATTAGCCACTTGACTTTGACACTGATGGCCTTGACTATTTGTAACCTGAAGATAGCTTCGATTTGTTTTTTAAATGAAAATCAATTTTTGTATCAAGAAAATTTTTAATTTTTATGATGTAAATGGGTATAAAATGTTTTCCAATTTGATAGAATTATTTTTTGGATTATCTCAATGTATTTTATGAAAATAATTAATTTAGAAATTAATGGATTGTGGGAAAAAAAGGAAATAAATAAAACAGATGTTTTCTGTCAGATCTTGTGATAGCTCGATCTGTCAAAGTCAAAGTGCAACTCGCGCATTCACAAAAATCGGGCAAGGTAAAGTAATCTGTCAGTTTCTCGTTTGCTTTTCAGCAGGAGAAATCCTGCTTCGATGTCCGTAGGTTTGAATTCGAAAATTAATAAGTGTTGCTATAGTGAACATAGTGTGTAAATATATAATAACTGTGTTGTTTGACACTAGGCAGTGCGACTTGGGGCTCCTACAGGCCTTGAAAAAACAGCTGCAACAAATAACCGCGTAGTTGCCATAAGCCAGTTTTCGGAAAACTTGTGGAACATTTACGTTCGTGATTTTGCCTAACAATCGGTTTTGTCGTGTGCACACGAGCCTTAATAAAAAAGTGTTCATAATTTGTGGTTATTTCATTTGTCCTCTAGTTTGTGAATTAAAATGCTTTTAGTGTTTTGTGTTTTTGGCAACGTCGCCTAATCTCGTACGAGCTAGTGCAGTGGCCGGCGGCCTGCTTGATTGTAAATGATCCTTCATCCATTTTTTGGGGCCCAGAACACTCTACATGAAAAAAGTAAATAATATTGTACTGTTATTTTACAATATACTTATCACTAGTTAGACATAATGACTTGTCTTGCCTGTATTTTCACAATTTCTGCTTTAAGTTCAAGAACAGTGATCTAAGGATACTTTTAAAGGGCGATGTAAACTAGTGGGCTAACTTAATTTCTGTATTCAGGAAGAAACTATTCTTTACAGATCTTTTTGGTTTGTTTCTTTATACCTAATTCTTTTACCATTTTTTTATTCAAGTTTTTATAAAAATCATGTGCTTTTCTGTTAGATATAATAATTCCTTCAAACTTCTTTACCAAATTATAACGACAGTCGTAATAATATTAATACTACACTAATAATTCCAAACTTAGTTTATGTAAAAATAGTCTAATTAACTTTAATATTACTTTTTGCTAATTTATCAGATTTTCTCTAAATTGATTAGAATTTTCTTTTGTTTCAGGACTAAATTACATTTTCCCTTCCGTACCAATGAAATCTGACATAAGATATTTATCATAGTAATTCTGTACTATTAAGATCAGTTTATGTATCAGAAAATAAGCTAACTAGCTTCAGTTTAAAAAGTTGTGTTGTGTGTATCACAAGTATCCGCAATGGCAGATTTGGAAGCTGTGCTGGCTGATGTCAGCTATCTGATGGCTATGGAAAAGAGCAAGTGTACACCAGCAGCCAGAGCAAGTAAAAAAATTGTATTACCAGATCCAAGGTATGTATTTTTAATTACTTAATAACTTACCTTTATGTTAGTATCAATATATGTACAATCATTTCTAAGATAAATACAATTATTTAGCTATAGTCTGTTCAGTAAGAGGATCCATGACAGCGACAGTTGTGTCTGTCATTTTAATTCACAGGTACATTGTATTTTCTGTGATTTTTTTATTTCATCTGTCAAAATCTTTCCTTGTTGGTCGGACTACAGCTAAGTTAATGAAGAATAGCTAATATATAATATTACATGGAATTTGTTGTTTACCTTCTTTCCCACTTGATATGTTTTTATCATTAATTTACTTAGTGGGCATACAAAGTTCTATGACAAAAAAAATGGCGTAAAGTTACCTTAGAATGATCGGTGATATTTGCCATACCTAATGGCCATACCAATAAATTTTGTATATAAATTGATTCTTCCTCATTTCTAATTTAATTTGACGCTCTATTTTTTTGATCATATATTACTTACAATTTCTGTAATATTAAACTATTTTTTATAGCATTTTATATGTGTTCCAATTTCCATATTTAGGTTGATAAAAATAAATATACTTTAAGTACTGAGGCATTTATTTAGATAATTTATATACAGATAAGTATGTTTATATTTTTATGCTTGTTTATTACTCACAAGTGTTTATAAAGTTTAGATACCTATGGTTTTCAAATAGGATTAATTTATCTGTAATACATAAAATATAAGATTAAAAAAATAATAAACCTACTTGAGATTGGGAAGTACCTTATTTATATACTTATTTGGCACTACTCGTATATTAAAATTTAACCCCTTATGTTGGGATGTAGTTATACATACTTAAACATTACCATTTGATCCACAAAAATGGACTTTCTTTATAATTTTTTGGATGTTGTCTGTCAGAATCGTTTCTCACGCTGACTCCTCGGTCCCGAAACAACCGCCTTACCAATGGAGCCACAGCTTCTTTTGTAACCAGACTATATCTAGGCATTACTTAGTTCCTCCACAAAAGCATTAAAGTAAGGTTATGGCTAATGCCATTCGCAGGCGCAAGCTCAAGCTTTCCGGCATGCATTGTTGGGGCAAAACCAAACAGTGCCGTGGCACATATTTTTCTTAACTTGCTGTTTGAAGAGATAATTATATTTTTTGATAATTGTTTTGACTACGCCTATGGTGTATACGATGGTATCAGGTATCATATATAAACAAAAGGTACAAAACTAGTATCGACGTATAGCACACATCAAGTACCTACATATAATATCAAAAAAATAATTATCGAATTCAATAAGAAAACTAAAAAAACGCTAAAAAGGTGGAGCGGACTGTTTATTTACCTTTCATTAACCTATGAAACGTAACTCCTGGCTCTTTCTTATCGCTGCGGCTTTTACACTTGAAAGCTGAACAACTAATCGCCGTTGTAATAAAGTTTATCCAAAGTTCACTATACACAACTATTAAAAATCGCTAAAGTTGTCGCTGATGACCAGCTGATGACTCATTCGTCGCCATCAAAAAAATGGCGTCTAATGTCAAATTTTGCTGCAGCCCGTATATGGGCGTTACATGTCCTTATATTCTTTAGTCATTGCTGTGTGTATTCACCTTGCTGATCGAGATCGAAAGATGGAAATCGGTTTGGTTTGGTTGTAAGTGAAATAAACTTCCTAGTCCTATTCAAAAGTTCTTTCAGCTCTATTCTGTTCATTCTGTCATAAATTCACTCTCTGAAAATACTATTTTGTTTACTAGGCACTACTAATTTCCATTTCCCTTGTGTCGCTTATCTGTAATTATTTTTAATCTTAATGTGTGCCTAACGAAATATCTATAATATAATTATGATAATTTATTAAAATGCACAATGCATTAATTTTCATTGTTTAACAAATAATGATAATTTAAACGAATGAATAGTATTATATTTTTTGTCAGATACAAATTGTATTTTATTAATGGAATAGTAGAATCCGGAATTTATATAATTCTATATTTAAATTTTAGGGAAGATAATTTAAAATTTATATTTTTTCGATTAACTTTTAAATATCAGTTAGAATGTAATTATCGGTAATATTAAAACAAAAGAGAAAAATGTACTAGTAAACAGGAAATTCTGTAAAATGTATTTTTATTCATCTGTAAATATCAGAAATTATATTCCACATTAAATAATATATTATTTGTTATTCTAATTTTGAATGTATTAATGACTAAAGGTCGTTTAAAAATAGAAATAATGGTTTGTATTTTGTTTTCTACGGTTTTTAGTGGACAAAATTTTCTTATTAAAAGATTGTGTGTACAGGGTGGGTCAAATTCGACGCTTTTAAATGGAAACACTCTTTTCTATAGGAGATAGGCGAAAACTAATATCGGTGCCTGGAGCTCAATTTTCATCAAAAACATGATGGTGAAAACCGCACATCAATATTTGTTACCGTTTCGGAGTTACGGGGTGTTTTTCAAAAATGTGCATTTTTAACAAATCGCTGTAACTTTTTTGCTATCGAAAATTTCGTATTTCTATGAAAACATTTCCAAAGCACCTTTTTACGTAGAATTTAATGGTTTAAGTATAATTTTTTAAAATTAATAATTTAAGAGTTATCAACCGAAAAATTGATTTTTTATTTGGGATACTCTCTATATTTTTAATTAACTGAAAAGAATTTAAAATTACCTTTCCAAAAATATAGCACAGTTGATATTTTGTTATAATCCCCTTTGAAATACAGAATTTTTAAAAGTTCGCCGCTTTTAACTAGTAGGCTCTGGACCCCTTATTGATGATATGCCCTTAATGGAACTCAAAAACATATTTTTCCAGCAAGACGACGCACCGCCTCTGAACGCTGAAGTTATCAGCAAATTTTTGTAGCCAATTTCAAGAATAATTGAATAGCTTACCAAGATCCCAGCCGTTGGCCGTCGAGGCCGCCTGACTTAGTGCCCATGGATCTAATCCTATGGATATATTTGTGGAAGAATAAAGGTTCCTTATTCTTCCGTATAATCTAGACAAAAATTAGAAATATTTAGCAGTTATGATAGGGTATCTTTCACCCCCACTGAGTTAATGAATTCCGCGAGAAATGTTCAAAAACTGCCCCGTCTGTCCATAACAGAATATCGAACACCTGTAACAAAATCTCATGTCTTGGTTTGCTATTTATTTTTATTGTTATTAGATATAGTTTAAATGTGTTGGTGTTGGTTAAATATATTTTAAATTGTTATAAAATGCTGCATCTCTCATAGCACATATTATTTTCGTTTTGATGCTCACAGCTAGATTTTTTTTGCATTACAGCCTAAGTTCAAAGCCTACTTATTTAAAGCGGGCGAATTTTTATATACTCTATATCTCGAAGAGAAATCGAGCAAAATATCATGTGTGTTATATTTTTGGAAAGGTAATTTTAACTTCTTTTCAAAAAATTAAAAATATACAGGGTGTTCCATATAAAAAATCAAATTTTCTGTTGATAATTCTTAAAT